GAAATGATCTTGGATTCCATTACACTGCTAGTGGACCTTTGGTGCGTTCCTCCTACAAAGCAGGTAAGTGACTGAAAGGCTTCAGATCCTTCAGCACCCAACATTCCATTGCATAAAATTAAAATGGTGAGGTAATGTGCTACAAAACTCACCTCAGCTCAAGGACATCTCATTGTAATGTTTAAACAATCTCCTATAGATCATCTTAATGCATCAGTGTGACAGTAATTAGTGCTTGTACAATTGCTGTGCTGCTTCAGCTAATTTTTTTGCCAAACCTATTTTGTACAATACTTAATGCATGGGGCAGGATAAAAGGTACCCAATTCACAAGTTTTCCTTTACATTCTGCCTCTTGGATGCTTCTGGGTTTAATGGGGCTCTTGGCTGGTTGTAGTGCAATGTTGTTGCTTTAGGCAGAATTTATTTACAGTGCCTCAGAAATAGTTAGACACACCTATGGCAGCACGGTATGAAGCATCAGCTGGTATTAATGGCACTATTGTGCCATTTTTTCTAAGCAGAGAAGACTCAGACAGGGCACTGTGCTTCTGAGTGCCAGCTCAAACAAGATTTATAGCAGGTTTCACTGTAACTTGCTGAGACTTTATGAAATAGGAATTAATTTTTAATTAAATCAATTCACTTTTGCCTGTTGGGAAGCTCAAAGCAGCAGAGCTATTTCATAAAATTGGACTTGAGGAAAATCAGGATTTTGGAACTGGAGGGGTTGTTGGGTTATGGCTTGGGGTTGTTAGAGCTCTGCTGTTTGTGTTGGAAGTGCTGTGTAGAACTGAATTACCATAGGGTACTGTAAGCACAATTGTAGGGTAGAACAGAGCCCTCATGTTAAATGAGGATGTGTGTACTGTTTTGCCTTACTTTACTGAAATACCTACAAATCATTTTGGTTCTTCTTTCCCTTTAATTAGGTGAATTCTTCTTGAAGAACTTAGTAGAAAAAAGAAAGACAAAGGCCATCTGAAAATGAGAGTGAACCTATTTAAAGCAGCCAGTTTTAAGGATCCTTTTTTCAGCACATAATTATACTCAGTTCCAGAAACGCAGAAGAGCAGATGGTGGATATATGAATATACTTACTATCGTTCCAGAACACTTCTCTCTCACCAAAACACATTGTTTTACCTCATTTCTACAACTGCAGAGTACTTCTAGTGTTCAGCAAAGAGACAGAGGATAGAACCGATTTTGAAGGAGTGATGGAACTGAGGTGAAAGAAATAAATGTAAGCTGGAAACAAAGATCAGACAGATTTAAGGCTTGATACTGCCGTCAGTATTGCTGCAAGTTAATACTTGTGAGGGTGCTGATGGTCATTTGAAAGGTATTGATACTTTGGTGTGTCTTACTGTGATGTAACACAAACTTGCAGGGGCTCTGGAGGCTATGGGAGTTCTAAACAGAGATTTTGTACATGACAATGGACCAAATTAGGGTATCTTGAATCACACCAGAGAAAGTATGGTAATACTCCTTCAAGAGATGGTATTTCTTACTTGCATCTTGAGAAAATGAGCTGTGCCATTCTGATAGCTAAAGCTTTTCCCATGCTTGCTTGTGTCAAAGTATGAGCCTTGGTAAACATAAGGTATCAAGCTGAAGAAAGCAAGAGTCCTTTGTGGCAAGACAATTAACCTTGTGTAGATACCATTTAATTTAAACTATCTGTAAAATCCGAGTTGGTGTAAGAGCATAAATAGAGCCACCCCTGATTTGGTGCATGGCTGTAACAGACCCCAGTGAGCTGCACAGGTGCTGCTTCGGTATTGGGCACGGAGAACTGCTGCTGTTCTGTGCTGCTCTTCCATGGGTATTGTCCTGGCATTAAAGGAAAATAAAAACCCAGTGTTGGGGCACAGTGTTTGTGTTTGATGGGTCTGGCTGCTGAATCTGAATGCAAAGTGTATCACGGGTGAAACATGAAGTCCTTCTGTACCATACTAAGCTCAAGCAGGAATAAAACCACAGCTTATGGTGTAGTGGCAGCTGGAGATGCTTCTCTTCACAGAAAGGATACTGATGGTCAACTTTCCCTAATGATTCTCAGTTGTCAGCTCTGGCCATTAGATATAATTTTTAAACTGATTTTATCTTCATGTTATTTAGGAAACATTCTAGGAATTTGCTATCTGCTCCCAAACTCTGATTATGCAGGTAGTGCTATGGTTGGCTCCAGTGCTTTTCTAAACTGCTGTAGTCTGTATGAAGGAGAGGAGTGGACCCTTCAGCCACCACCAACTCAGCAAGACAGCTAATTAACAAGCTAATTTATAGGAGAAACTTGCTAAGAACATTAAGATTACACCACTGTGGTGCACAACTCACACTTCACAAAATGAAGTAGAGCAGTGTTAAAGCATTATGAAGACAAATTACTTTAATCTGGAAGGAATGTACTAATTCAACAGGGAAGAGAAACCTGAGCCATGAGGAGCAAAGGGGAAGAGCAAAGAAAAAGTCTTAAGTGCTCTCTCTGCTTTGTAAAGGCAGAGAGAAAGGCAAGGCTGCTTTTTTTTAATACACAATATTAATAAATTTAAATTAAAAATTCTTGGAAAGATGATGTATACTTTGAGCCAACAGTGCCCTGCTGCAACTGCAGGACACTGACCAGAGCAGGGGAAGGTTATCAGCTATGGTAAGGAAATGCACAGCAGCAGAGGGAACAGTGCAGAATCAGCCCCAGGATACCCACACATTTAACAGCTGCCAGCCTTTATTAGAGGTCCTACTGTAAATAATGGTTTTGACTTGCCTACAGAGCAGATTTAACATAATATGACTGTAGCTTCTGCCAAGTTACTGCTCTTTCAGCACATCAATAGCAGAAATATAGAGAAAGCTATTCTGAGCCATACAGCTATTACCAAACTGGAACAAGAGAACATTGCACAGTACTTTTCTGTGACTTCTTGGCAGTGAGAGGAATAATGGTTCCTGAAACACAATGTTATTTCATGTTAGAATTCTCTTATGAATTGCTGCTGGGTGGTTCAGAAGATGATTTGCTCTTACCCAACTGTCTGCCAGCTGGTACCAAGTTTCAGAAGCTACATAAGCTGTTTTCTAGCTACATATTTTGCTCTGGTTTCTAAGGAAAGCAGTCACACTGACTTCATAGATGGGAGGGGTCTCTGCTTGGATTTTCTTAACAAGGTTTGAGAACAGCCCCTAAAATTATTTTCCTAGTTACAAATTCCTGCTTTTACAGCCATCTTACTTCCCTATGGCCCATTCAGTTTTTCCATAACTATGTTAAAGCCCCAAACTCCCACAAACCTCCTCCTTGTAAATCAGGACAGGTTTCATGATTCTCAGTTCTGTTTCTGATGAAGTTTCACGTTTAGTGACATTTTCTTTCTGTATGTCAATCATCATTCTGTCAGTTTGTTTCACAAAGCAACCATAAAATATTTTAAGAAACATTAATCATCCTCCCAATCAGGAAAACATTAAACTGAGTTTTGGGGATGGGATTTCAAGTTGACACAGACTCTTTAAAAGAATGAATTATCTTTCTTAGCATCACTATTTCCATCTGCTACACTGTGTGAAGTGTAATTGAATGTTATGCATAGAGAATTATGGCATCTTCCAGTGACTTCGAGTCTTTTGGTTAACAGTTAAATCAGCAGAGCTGAAGTGAACAGTTTTAAATTTTCCCTGCTTGGATCAATAATTAACATTAGCATCCCCTTCATTTAAAAAGAAGTTCTCAAGTATTTATGCTCCTTTACTACAACACATGGCAACTTATTGCAGATATTCAACTTGCAATAGACATTCTCAGCTTGAAATGACAAGAGCAAGTCATGAATTTGATTGATAAAGCATATTTGAAAACACACATACTTGAAAACACATTCAGAGGGTATTATGTTACCAGTTACAGGACAATTCCCTAACATCCCAACACTATTCCACTAAGACATCTATGCCTTCTAGTCTGAAACCTGTTCATGGTTATCCTTTTCTATCCTCCCCTCCATTTCACAACCAACATGATACCAACAAGCCAAACACGAACACTGTCATCTCAAGGATTTTAATAGCACTGGCCAATTGAGAATAAAAACAAGTAGAAATAAAGTAACAGTAAAGGCAAAAATATCAAGATAACATAGTAAGGATTCATTCCTGTTAATTAAATGAGGTAGCAAGCTGACTAACTTACAGGGCTGAATTTATTTTTAACACTTTCTTCATAGCAGGGAACAACTTTCTGTAGATTCGTTTTTAAAAAGCTGCTTTCAGATGAAGTATATAAGCAGAAGAAAGGAAAAAGATCACCATCAGGTAACATTAACACCAATAATTGCTTTCTACTCAGACTGACACCAAATTAAGGTCATTCTGCTCAAGTTCCATGTTCAAACAAGCAGAATGCTCCTCTGCTGACGACAGCTTGTGTTGCTGCAAATTAGGAAATACTTGCCCCAGCAATCGGATTAAATCAATAATTTATGTGGCTGCACATGGAATGTAGGCAAAACAACCAAAGAATCAAAAGTGAAGATCTGCCAGTGGATCAGTTCAGAGCTGCTGGTCCACTGTCACCAGGTACATGATCGATGCCTGCAGAACTACCCGAGCTCCCAACAGATGCAGTTTAGGCTGCACCAGCACCAAGTGATCCCAGCCAGGATTGGGGCACTATTGTTGCAGTCAGTTCTGCTTTAGGACTGGACCTAAAGCCTCAACAACTGACTTAGAACTTATCTTTTGACTTCAATGCCACTTAGAGCAAGTATTTAACTAGGCAGAGAATCACCCCAAGAGAAAAAAATGAGAAATCGGTGAGACCAAACTTCTTGATCACAGTCCATCACTCTACTAAGGTAAAGAGATACTCCATTTCTTTTGCCTTCATATCACTCAGAACATGTAAAGTGCTGTTAGGGAACATCTCTGGAAGCAGAAGTCTGCAGTTTGAAGGTAACTTTTACACATAAAAGATGATTCATTATTAAAAACAGGTCTGTACCATCCTCAGTAACCAAAAAAAAATTGCTATAAAAATAGAGATTTGAAAATAGACTGAATTCACATGTACCAGGTACCATTTCTAGTGTAAAATTGGTTTACTTTATGAAAAATATATTTCCTTAAAAAAAGCATAGGCTTACAGTTATTATCACTAAGAAGATCCACAGAATTCCTTCAATACCTATGAAACCTTATACTCTAGGCTTTTTGACAGGTGGGTCCTGCAGGCTGAACTTAGGAATTTCACATGAGGAAGCAAAAGGAATTCTTTTGGCTGACACCTTCTTCCCAATTGTTTCAATCTGAAAGAGAAAACACATTTAACAAGTGAGTGTGGCAAGCTAACATAATCGTGTCAGCTTATGAGGAATCTAGAAATTAAACCCAGGACCATGACCACATTTCATGAACACAAGAACAACACAAGCCACAAAGCCCAGGAACAGTTTCTGTGACTGGAGTTGCACAGAGATTGTTTAAAACCCCTCAAACATCCAGCCTTTAGCAGGTGCCTGTTTTGCCTATTTAACGCCACATCTTGCTTTAAAAAATATTGCTAAGAAACATTCATCTGCCTCAGCTTTCATAGGACTACCAATACAAACACCATAAAAGGTGGGAGTATTCATAAAATGTGAGTTCAGACTCCTTTTCTTTAAAATTTATACTAAATTAGGATAGGAAGAGCTTTTTCCCCTCCTTAAAGTTGTTTGTGAAACAACAGAACTCAGTAAGGCTAAAGGCAGCCAAGACTGTACGAGAGAGAGCATGTAACAAAGCCAACACACACACACACATATATGCTGGGTACTGCAAAAGTCAGAGAGCAAGACAAGTTCCCCTAATTTCTAGGTCAAACTAACATAAACTAATAAGGACAGAGCTGTAGAGGACAAAACATCAACCAGTAGAACAGTTCAGACATTCAGAAAGAGAGGAAAGCTACAGCTTTCCTTGTAAGTAATGCAGGTCAGATGCAAAACATCAAAAGACAAAATACTTCAACTATTTAAACCAAATTTCAATGAACATATTCTAGACAAGACATCTCAATTAACTCTGAAGACAATTATTTAAACAGTCAGGTGAGCTGTGTGCATCATATTTGCCCATCAACAGTTTGACTGACTTGGTTAAACCAATTTCTACAAGCCAGTTCACAAACAGTGTAAACAACTGTAGCTTAAATAGGGAAAAAATATCAAGAGAGAAATCCTATAGCCATTATGCAAGTAATCACAGTACCCAGGAGTAAATGGAATGAAATATGACTGGAATACTTATCATCTGATCTGGCTTATAGATTTTGTTCTTACTGTGCCTGGCTGAGATGCTTCCATCAGATTAGTCAGGGATTTGGTGATTTTAATATCAGTATTTCCATGTATTTGTGTTTTAGCAGTTGATGATAGCCAGTCAAATTCTGTCTGGGCCAAAAGTGCTTCAAGCCCTTCAGTCAAGGCTTACTCTGCAATCCCTGCTTGTCACAGAGTAGATTTTTCCCTCAAAACATGTTGATGGCAATGTCTGATGTAGCTTGAATTTTAACTAAGTATCAGCCTATGAAAGCAGTAAGACAATGGAGGAATACAGCACTAGTGAAGAGACTTAAGTACAGACAGGCTTACATTTAAATCCTCACCTGAAAAGGTTTTTTTAGCCCTTGCTACTCAATCATTGAAGAGAGAGCAAGAGGGAAGAGAACAGGAAAGAAACAACAGCAGCATCACCCAGCTGATTACCTGAAAGCCAATGACTTGCAGCTCATTGTGAAGGTCATCCAGAACTCTCCTACCATCAAATATAAACGCAGGCTTTAGCATTTTCTTATGAATGCGTTCATAATCCAACTCCTGGAAAGGGTAATTAAAGCAGACAGAATAAATAAGTAGCGTAACACTCCCTCTTTTTTTCTTTAGCTTAAATTAAAGATAACATGTACCTTAAACATGTCCCATTCAGTGCAAATTACAAGGGCATGAGCTCCATCACAGGCTTCATAGGGATCTTTACTGATAGTGACCAGCCGAGACACTGTAACAGGAGGAAAATTAAGTTTTTTCTGCACACAGCATCAGCATCACTCTGACCGAGACACTGTAACAGGAGGAAAATAAAGTTTTATTCTGCACACAGCATCAGCATCACTCTGGCACGAGACTCCTTCCTTCCCCATCACAGAGTTTCAAGACACTCACCTAGAGGTATTTTCTGTCAAGACACTTTTCACTTTGATTTTACTCATTTGAATAACAGCAGTATGGACCTGCATCTGAATAGAGTCAGAGCACGCAGATGTTTGAAGTGATTCTCTTCTAGAAGCCTCATCTATCCTCCCTATCCATCAACTCCATTCCCCCCCTTACCAGTAAGGAAACAGAAGTCCCAAATATCCCCTGCCTCTCCCCAGGAAATTTCTAGTCATAGATGTCCCCTAACCAGTAAGGAAACAGAGGTCCCAAATATCCCCTGCCCCTCCCCAGGAAATTTCTAGTCATAGATGATTAAAGTCTTTTTGAATTTAAGGGAACAAATTGATTTGGAAGTGATATGAGGGAAGGGAATTACAGAATTACTTCTTGATTTCTACTTCAGATATGCAAGAAAGAATGAACACAAGATAGGACTCAGGCCACAAAGGAACTGTCATAACAACACTAGTCTCCTTATTCTGGACAGTCTTCTTTCTCTTCCTCTTAATTATACATACAACAACACTAGTCTCCTTAATTCTGGACACTCTTCTTTCTCTTCCTCTTAATTATACAGAGAGAAAATTCCTGGCATAAAATGAATATTTATGGCAAGAAAAACATGCAATCGTTCAGACTTCACATTTGTCTATAAAAGCTATGGGGAAGGGGAGAAGAATTAGAGTAATCCTCTGAGCTGTGACAATTTTCTAGTAAGTGTAACCAACGGCACAACAGTGCCATGCTGAAGATTAATTTGTAATATTTAAACAGACCCTGTGTCTATTGGGAATAGGGTGGGAAGGGGGAATAAGCTTTACATGAGCATTCTTACCTTGGTTATCTTCAGAGACACCTGGATGTGAGAGATCCAAGATGATTTGTTCCTTAGGTACTTTAGGATCATAGATATGGAGCCTTGCTCCTTCATCCATCAAATACTTGCTGATGTAGATACTGGATGACTCTCTAGGGAAGAGAATCAATCAGTTTAAGAACCAGGTGACGAGTTTTAAGTAATGAAAGTCTTCAAGTATCATGATATGCAATGCCAGAGCTTTTATACTAGTTTTGCATTAAACATCTTAGTGGCAGCCATGACAGCTGCCTGAAATCTTGAGGGATGCTAAGGAGACTAATATGAAAAACAAGTTTGTGTCTCTCTTGCTGAATCATGCAACAGAGACACTAAGCCACAGGACTCCTCTTGACCACAATTAACAAGGCATCGAGCTGGTAAGTGTTCCCCACAAACTGCACTTGAAGAGTTGTATCAAGTTTGAGCCTTCCAGGAAAACAGAATTAACTGCATTCAGGAAACAAAGCTGGAACTTGGGCTTCATGCAGCAGTCTAGAACCAGCTGCAAAAGTGTTTGCATTCTTTTCAGAAGAGAATGGGAGGACTCTGTCAAAATCTATCTTTGCTTATGCAAGTTACTAAGGGCTAGAGTTACCTGCTTGAGCTTCTGAATGATTCAGGTATGTTGCAGAAGTCAAGAATCAATTGCCACACCCATATAAGAAAGACTAATCCTTGTCACAAACCAATTCAGTCACAAGAAATTCAGGGCCCCATATGTGAGTTATTCTTATGATCTAATTGAGCTCAGGGGGTTAGCTCTGCAGCTGGTGACAACTGAACTCACTCTCACCTTGTGTCCCCAGTATCCTTTTTGAATGCAAACCCTAAAATAGCAATCTTCTTGTCAGTGACAGTATTGAACAAGCTGTCAATAATGCGGGACGCAAATCTTCTTCTCTGGTAGTCATTCATGTCTATTACCTGAAATGACAGAAGACAGGAAGAGACACAAGGGAGTCAGTCCAAACTGCAACAGATTCTATTCACAATCAAACTAAGCTACCCATACATAAGTTTAACAAGAGGCTTAAAAGATTAAGTATTTTTACTCAGTATCATAAGTAAACTAAAGACAAATTTAGTTAATGTATCGAATTCTGCATAAATCCTATTTTACTCAATGACTACAGATACACATACACACATACTATCCATGCATTATCTACTTTAAAGGGTAGGAGTTTTGCAGGTTGCTTTCTTAAAAAAACCCAATAAATCTGTAACTTATTGCTTTCCATGCTTCTGCCCAGAACACAGTTCCAGTGCTAGGCCTGAGAGCATCTACATCTTCCCAACCACTCCTAACTAAATGGGGCAACAACAGCAATTATGCTTATTTCAAAGAACAGCAAATTCTGCTGAGTAGCTTCAGAACTGCAAAAGAAAATCCTGAGGAAAATATCACAAGTTCTGAATTCATAGTAGACAGAGATATCCAAGTGCAAGAGGAAGACAGGAGTCCAGACATGGTTCTACTTCATGTTTTCTACTGGTGTTTCTAGACAGCCTCCCCATCCATTTGATCCAGACAACTTAATTTATCAAAAAAAAAAAAAAAAAAAAAAAGCCTCAGCACCAAGTATCAAATGTCAGTGTTAGATGGAGGGGCCTAAAATGTAAAGGTGATCAACATTAAGGTATTTGCTCCTTAGAACCTGAACACTGATTATATGTGGACAATGCTTAAAACCTCAATGCCTGAAAGTTGAAGAAACCACTCTCTTAAAAAAACTTGGTGAGGATCTTGTACCTGTTGCCAGTAGCGAGCTACCTCAGGTAAGTTCAGTGCCTCACAGAGGTACACTAAATTCAAGACATCCTTCTGAAAACAGCTACCTCCGAACCCTGAAAGAGACAATGGTTATTTTACAGGTGACTAAGGTACTGATCTAACCCAATCTTTGGAATCAAGTAGTTTTTGGTAATCATTGACATAGTCAGCATTATAATTTTTCCCAGTATTTCACTGTTAGCAGATGAAAAACCTTAAGAATCTCTCAAAATCCAACTCCTGGACCTACTCACTTTGTCAGCTACAGAAGACTTAATATCTGCTTCAGGTTTCACTGAAGTCAATGAATTAAAGTTTAAACCCAGACTCACGGACTTGTATGATAAGATAGCCCATAGCTGCTTTATTACAAGTAGGTGGACAAGCTTGTGAGCTTGCTCTCCCCCACCTCAAGATTTAGATTAATACTTCTCAAAACAAGTGTGTTAAGATTAGGTTCTTTCCTCCCCCACCCCCAAATGTATACCTAATAATTACCAAGAACCAAAGATCACCACAATTGACTAAGGGAGAGCTGAGACAATTAGAGGGATCCTTGACCCTCAGAACTTTGCTCAGCAAGCAGAGTCTCGGAAACAACACATTGTAGAAGGTGTTATAACAACCTAATAGGGATTTTGGTCATGTATTTGCGATCTATTTTTCACTCTTGCACAGACCCTAGGATAGGTTATATTTAACAAGGTGATTTTGAGGACACACTTTCTTTTTGTAGCATGAAGACTGTAGCCATAGAGATAGGCTTCAGTCTTGTTCTGAAGTTTGAAAGTCTGATGTACCAATCACCACTTTATCACATTTTACTCTAGTAAATCTAATCATGAAACGACTGGATAAGGCACTTAGTGCTATGCTCTAGCTGACAAGATGGTGATAGGTCAAAGGTTGGATTTTATGATCTTGGAGGTCTTTTCCAACCTTAATGATCCAATGAATTCAGTCTCCAAATTAACAGTTGCCATCACACATTCTGACCTAGAGGCATCTCCTCCCTCAAGCCACTGGCAGCAACTCCCAAATGAAACTGCAGCAGTTACAACTGAGCACACATCTTGGGGAGCACCATTATCAGTGCTGATTCAGAAAAATAAGGTTGCAGCTTTTCTTTGCAGTATCCTGAGCAGGATAAACCATGCACTCTGAACTCTCCAGTTTCAGACTGCCTGGCTCTAGAGCAACCTTAGTCCTAGACATTTTACCAGAAAAACACATTGATACTAGTATTCTATAGCAATATTTTCATACATTAAACATTTCCAATGCTGCAGAACATTTTACAGTATCAGACTGCTTACTTCAAAACATTACTAGTAGACCTATTGCACTACTAAACAGAAGCCTAGGAAATAAAAAAGAAGGAATTTTTCATTTACCAACACTGGCTTTGAGAAACTTATTTCCAATTCTTTGGTCTGTTCCAATAGCTCTTGCTACTTCTTCAACATCTGCTCCTGTAGCTTCACACAGAGCACTGATTGAGTTGATGCTGCTGATTCTTTGGGCAAGGAAAGCATTAGCTGCCTGTAAATAAAAAGCATAGTCAAGAACTCCATTTTTCCAAAAGTCAAGATGTCCACAGACCAAAGGGAGCTGCTACTGAAAGGATTATTTTAGTATCTATGCAACACTTTTGAGATACAAAATGGCAACATAACTTGTTTAATACATAGATGCAAGTGAAAGGGATCTAAGCAAAACAATGTAATTCTTAACTTGCAGAGTTTGAACCATTTTATGATGGTAATCAGTTTCTGCAACACTAGAGGTTTACTCTTAGTAATGAATAACACAGCAATAGAAGTGAGAAAAGGACTTTGTGGAAAGTTGATATCATCTATTAGCTCAGCTGAGACAACTGGAAAAGATTCATATCCTTTGACATACATACTGGGTCCTCCCAGCCTCATCTGTCTTTCCTAGCTGCATCACTCAGTGCCAGGGAAATTCTGCTTCTGAGCTTTGTCTCACTTGCACCCTTTGCTCATTGCAGACAACAGCAGTAACACAAACCAGTTTAGAAAGTTCTGATGACCACGTGTTGGTTGTGAGGATTTTTTCTTTGGGCACCCAGTGCTCATACACAGCACAAAGAGCACGGACAGCTTTCTGTCCCTCTGGAGAGTCATCTCCACCAATAAGCACTCTGTCTGGGTTCTTCAGGTCCTTGATGGCTGTTCCTTCTGCAAGGAATTCTGGGTTAGATAGCACCTGCAGGCACAGAAAAAAAAAAAGAACAATGAGTAAAACCCAAAAGCAACCACCAGCCTTTAAATACACAACTCAAAAGATTATGTTTACCTGCAAATCCAAGTTAGGCTTAGTATTAGCATCAAATATTCTGCGAATGCTCTCTGCAGCACGCACTGGAACTGTGCTCTTCTCAGTGACAATTTTATAACCGTTTGAATTCTGTACAATTCTCCTAGCACAAGCTTCAATGTATTTCAGATCAGCTGCTCGGCCTTTTCCCATCCCATAGGTCTTTGTTGGAGTATTGACCTAATTACAAATACATGAAAGGGGAACGAATGTTACAGGTCGGTACCTCTTGTGTGAAAAGGCAAGGTGAAACTCTTAAGACTGACAGACATTTCCCTTCCCAGAGGAAGGAAAATGCTTCTACCCTCGAATTATTCTAGTTACCATATCAGATGAACAGCTATTAGCTTTCTCAATTACCCATTTTGTCTTCCAAAGAAAGCTCATTGGCCTCTAATCAAGATTTCAAGGATTTAAACAAGAGCAATTCCCAGCAGCTCTGAAGGCTTGGGTGAAACATAGTCCTTATTCTGGAAACACTAGCCATTTCTTCATGATTACAGCCAGCCTCCTTTTGTTACCTGTCCCACATGAGGAGTGTGGAGGTTCACACAAGAATCTTGCAGCTTAAACTCACTTTGCTGTGAAACCAAAATATAGAGCTGATAAAAACTGCTATACTCAAGTACTCAGGAAAAGGCAACATGAGGGAACACACGTCGTTTAGGTTAAGACAGAGGGTCCCGTTCATTACAAACTGAAAGAAGAAATTGCAACAACTTGTCAAACACGACAGCATGTTTTAAGCCAGGGACAGGTGGCACTACATGGGCTGTATTAGTGGCAGTCATCCAGCCACGTAGCATTCATTGTAGACTTGATGAATGGAGAAAAATACCATCAGAGAGAGCTCTGTACTACAGTGCTCCAACAAAGAGGAGCTCTCAAGAATAAAGGACTTCAGTAACAAAAAAGCCCTCAAATGTGGCCTACCAAGCCAAACAGCAATCAGTTCTTTTGGATTCTGCATAGAACAACCTTCTAGATTACAGAAAGTCACACTGTTCATATTTGACTGGATCCTCTCTCTAGTGGTGTAACAGCTTTGAAATACTAAAGCCATCCCATCTTCCACTAATACACTGTTTTTTAAAAGCTTCCAGAAATAAGTCATCTTTGTAAGCCAATAACCAGCATATGATTTTGCATCACTATCTAGGAACTTTATCAGGTATTACTAAGGTCCCACAGATTTCAGTAGTGCACGGCAATGACAGATCTGCAATACATTCTGCTCTGAGACCTGACACACCTAACCAAGTTAAACATCAACATGATCACTTTGACTTAGAACCTGTTCATTTGTCAAACGTGCTACTGGCTGTAAGGAAACAAAACAAAACAGGAAGCTTACTTAACACTTTTCCCACAGCAGACAGAAAGACAAGGAGAAATCTGTGACAGTGACATGACATTGCTAACTGAATCTACATAACAAAACAAGGGCATCTTCCTAAAACAGGAACATATTGATTTGATAAAGAAAAAAAAAAAGACAAACAACCACCTTCTCCTCCTAAACTTACAGAAATAAATACAAGATCAGCTTCTCTAATGGCATCATCAATACTGGTGGAAAAGAAGAGGTTTCTTCCACGACATGATTCTACCACTTCTTTTAACCCTGGCTGAAAAAAAAAACCAAGCAGAGAAACAGCAGTTAAGGTTAATACCATTAGAAGAACAGCAAACTGTATGCTCAAATAAATGGCATATAATTACAGATACAGAAAGACTTTCCTTTTTTCTCCCCCACTCAGTGCAATGTTTTCAGTCTGTCAGAAGTAAAACCTCTGTAGATTTACACAGTGAGAAGAGTGAGGCCCTTTCTTATCCAAAAGACTCCAAAAGCTGTCTTTAAACCTTCAGCCACACTGAACTGTTATTGGCACAACCAGATTTTTAGACACTGGTTATTCCCATGCTGAATTCTGTTACCATGAGCAACAATTATAGAAATAGCTGTAGAGTGAAATTAAGTAGACTCAAGAAGCAAAGTGTTACAACATTCCCTAGATGCAAACAAAAGAGGTAATCCCAGTTTTCCCTTTCCCTCAGCTACACATTCCATGATCGTACCAACATCAGATCTAAAATTGATTCAGCACAAAAAATAAACCCCTAAAGAAGGGGAAGAAGAAGTCTTCCACCAAATCAGCCAGCCCAGACCCAGTGAAAGACAGGCAGCAGAGACACACAGAAGATTAAAAAATCATATTGGGAAAATATTTTTCACTGTTAGTGTGGTCAGGCACTGGAATAGGTTGCCCAGGGAGGTGGTGGAATCACCATCCCTGGAAGTTTAAGAGGTTTCTGGATTTGGAGCTAGAAGATGTGGTTTAGGGGTTATAGTGGAGTGGCAGGTTAACAGTTGGACTTGATGATCTTAGAGGTCTCCTCCAACCTTGATGACTCTATGATTCTAAGACCACCCATCTTTGGGCCATATTAAGCTTATCATGGCACCACACCTACAGCATGGAAGAATCACAGCCATAATATGATGAGATTCTTTCCAGAGACACATACTTTGCCATGACACTTTTCCTTCCCTTAACACATCCACTCAGACAAGAGCAGCAGGAGGACCTGTGTACATGAGGAATCCTCTGTACTAGAATGGTCTAAAAAAAATTTAACTAGGATTAGCTGTCACAGATAAAAGAAGCCTTTACTTTTGGTTTGAAAACACAGTCATGCACTTTCACCTGGCAATCAAATCTCCAACTGGAGACACCTGTCATGAGATTAGATATTTGACTAAGTGCCAGAAGGCCAAAGGTTCACTGGATGGAGAGAAGAAAACAAAGCAGAAACTTTCTTATGCAAGACATTTTTACTGTCTCATTTTATATAAAATACCTGCTTAAAAGGAAAACAAAGGTCAGAACAGGCAAAATAACATGTGTTACAACCCACCAAATGTTCTAACTATGGTCTTACTGGGAATTAAACGAAAGGCAGCCCAAGAGACAGTTTATGACACCCAAAAGCAACAACCCAAACCAAAAACATACAAAAGCCTCATTGTGCAATGATTCAGTTTTACAACTGTCTGAACTAATGCTTGGCAGTTTTTGTACATTTTTGGAAGCAAAGGACACCATTCCAGGAAACAGATGTTGCGAGTTTGGGGCTTTTTAAAAAAACAACATGCCAAGACTAGCTCTCCTGTAGCTTATTCAGTCTAAGTGTTTACAGAAAACAAATTACTTGTTTTCATAACCTTTATTCATACCTCACGTGTTAATCTGAGCATTATACACCTTTTCCTTTGAATCTGTATGACAAAGGAGATCTATTCATCTTCACTCAATCACAGTGTAGCTTTGGTTTTAAGAGGAGAAAAAAAACTGCATTAGTGTTACAGCGAAGACAGGACCCAGGAGACTTTTTACAGCAAAAGACTAACTGTTAGTACCAGGCAGATGCCGAGTGTTTGGGAGGCAAGTGAGGATAAGTTTTCACTCCTATTAAAGAACTCAAATCTATAAAAACTATATCTCATGAAAAAATAGAGGAAAAAGGATCTATTCTTTCAGGGTGATAAGAAGTAGAAAATGAGAAGTGCTAAGAGAAGCAAATTTAGAAAAATGCTTTATCTATTTTCAGCTTGAAGTAATTCTGTAATGAAGGAGTGACAGTGTGATACATTCAAAAGATATTTTTATTTGGCTTTGCGTTCCTAGGCCAGATTGAAGGTTTATGGTAAAAGTGAATCAGGAACATGACTGTCCCCATCTTTCAACACAGCTGAAGTTGGGCAGCATAGATGGGATTTTGGCAGTATTCAGAATGGGAATCAAGCTTACCACTCAGTATTACACATTCACATTGTGCTACAACACAGCAGGTAACACCTGAAACTGAGCAGGAGGACTACATCATTACTAAACTGGGTCCCAAAAGAAAGTCAGCATGATTTAGCACAATTCACTATATAAAGAATCACACTTTTCCTTACTAGGCCCTTCATATAATCATTAATAGCTGCCTGCATCAGCCACATTGAGGTATTGCAAAAAATCTGGCTAATGAGCAGCAGTGACAAGCAGCTGTTCCAGAACACTCCTTTCTGAAGGACATCACTGTGCTCAGCTTGACACAGCTCAGGAGTGAGCTGTGGGGTAATGCCATGTGGCAGGAAGGAAGCAAATGCAACAGTGGCTGGAAGAAGAGACAACAGCAACATTTACCTCGTAGATGGGGAGTGTATCTGAATTCCAGGCATTGATTCTGGCCTCGTTGACATCCACCACAGTCACTTGGATATTGGGACACATTTGTGCAATAACACTACAGGTTGGCCCACCAACATAACCAGCACCAATGCAGCAAATCTTCTTAATCTCAAACATGATTGCTCTGGTAAAGAGGAGAAAGGAAAGGAAAATCAAGAGTTATCAATTAACATCCTGGTCGATAATACAAGGAAATCAAAGAGCACACCTTGAGAACTGTTCTCAGTTCTGGGCCCTCCAGTGCAGGAGGGACATTGAGGGGCTGGAGCAGGTCCAGAGCAGAGCAACGAGGCTGGTGAAGGGACTGGAGCACAAGTGCCATGAGGAGAGGCTGAGGGAGCTGGGGGTGTTCAGCCTGGAGAAGAGGAGGCTCAGGGGAGACCTTCTCACCCTCTGCAACTCCCTGACAGGAGGTTGGAGTCAGGTGGGGGTTGGTCTCTTCTCCCAGGCAACAGCAGCAGGACAAGAGGGCACAGCCTCAAGCTCTGCCAGGGGAGGGTTAGGTTGGCTATTAGGAAGAGATTTTTTACAGAGAGAGTGCTCAGACATTGGAATGTGCTGCCCAGGGAGGTGGTGGATTCACCATCCCTGGAGGTTTTCAAGCTGAGACTGGATGTGGCACTTAGTGCCATGGTCTAGTGACCAGGGTAGGGTTAGACTAGATGATCTCTGAGATCTCTTCCAAGCCAGTTGTTTCTATGATTCTAAGATTTCAGATCTCTCTGTGCTGCTGCAGGAGCACAGACTGATTAAGAACCCTCTCTG